GCCCCGTGGCACAGTGGTGATGCGATGGGTTGGCACCAGAAGGTTCCAGGAGTTGCTGGCTCAAGGGCAGGAGCAGGGGGGTAGAACAGGTTGCTTTGGAGAAGAGGAGAGACAAGCCCCTGCCTGGTTTGATACTTGGTGCTGCCTGCGAGTGGCCTTTAAGCACCAGTCTGCTCCCCCTGCCAGCCCAGCCCTGGGCTCCCTCCAGCCTGCCAGGATCCTTCGCTCCCAACTCACTGCCAGCCCAGCCCTGGGCTCCCCACACCTCCCCCCACACAAGCTCAGCAGAAACCTCTCATTTCTGATCCCCGTGTGTGGACGTTCTCGTCCCTGTTCGTTACACTAACCTCCGACTTTTTCTACCCCATCACTTCTTGGGCGGAGGATGTCTCCAGAGTGGAGCCAAAGGGAGGGGGGGGGCAACCAGTTTATGACCCAACCACTTTTGGGCCAAGCCACTCACATTCAGAGGGGCAGAGGTAGGGGCTCCTGCACCATGGGGGCCTCAGGCTGCTGGGGGGGGGACTTCAAGGGGAAAAGGGGGGTCGGGGCCAAATCTATGCCCCTGCTTACAACAATGCTCCATACCCCCTGCGCCTGTGTAAACACAGCAGCATTTTAATGCAGCCACCTCTGGGTTGGTGCAGCCAGGCAGGAAAACACTGCCTGGGGAGCGGACAGACAGGCCAAGCCGCTGGGGGCAGAAGCCAAGTTGGGTCCAACATGCTGCGGGATCTTTTATGGCTTATATAGCACTGTCCCGCTACAAACTCAGCCCCTGGGGACAGACCCCTCTCCTTATCCCTGGGCACAGACAGGGAAACTGAGGCAGGGCCTGGGGCTTACACCACACCTAACATCTCTCTTACAAGCCTGTCTTCCTCCTCACTCCCCAGGATCTAAGGAGGCCATGTGCAGCTGCACCGCTGCCTGGGAGGCCCATGCGGGGTTAAATTAACTCCCAGTTATTCAAATCCTTAGACCCCCTCCTCAGCCAGATCCTAGCAACAGGGCCGGGAACGCAAGGCCCAGGGCTGGGCCGGACGTGCTTTGCCTGCTGCCCTGGGTTATTATCGAACTCTGGGAAGGGGAGGGGCGTAGTAGCACGCTGCTGCCTAGAGCCAGCTGGGGCTGGCTTGCTAGGACTGAGAACATCTGACTCCGCACACAAACTTGGGGGCAGCCACCGGGGAGATGGGGGCGAATGTCAATTTGCATTAAAGCCTCATGAGCTCATCAGAAGCCGGGTAAAGCTCCGTCCGGGGTCCTGAGAGACGAGGCCTCAGCTCTGGACTGACCCCAGCGTCCAACTCGCCTGTGGGACAGACCCAGCACCTAATATGGGGAGTTGGTAAAACACTCTTTGCAGCCAGCCCAGAGGGTGGCTGTTCCCTATGGCTGTGAGATCATGGCACTGTCCCATTAGCTCCCATGGTGCGGAAGGTCTCAGGTTCAAACCCGGATGCTTCCTGTGTGGGGCAGGAGGCTGTTGCTAACCCACGGTTCCTAGCCCAGGCTGCCTGCAATTTCCCAGCCCAGAATGGAGGTGTCTTCCCGCCTCATCAAAGCACCAGACCTGAGACATTGCCCATAGCCTGTGCACACCAGAGCCAGCCCCTCACAGGCATTAATGGGGCAGGAACCTCCTGGGTGCAACAGGGTGAGTGAGGAGCCCTGCTGGTCTCTGGGACCAAAGGGACAGTGGTGGTGGGGCTACCAGGCACCAAAGCCCCTTCTTAGGATGCTGCATTTGTCTCACTGTAGGGGATTGGTTCTGCAGAAGGAGCCTTTGGGATTTTCCTGTGTTTCTCAAGGGGTCCATTTGTCTGGGTCTAGTCTGCCCTACTCAGGCTCTCAAATGCCCTGCATGTTGCCCTCAGGTAACCCTCTCCCAGGAGAGCCTTGAGAGCTTTGATGTACCCAGAGGGAAACTGAGGCACAGAGTGGGGCCATGCCCATCTCAGAGTCCCCCAGCCAGTCGGTGGCAGAACTAGAACCCACGAGTCCTGACTCCCAGATGGCCCTTGCTCTAACCACTAGCTCCCGCTGCCTACAGCCCCTGGGCAGTTTGGCTGGGGCTGGTGCCTGTGAACAGCCAGGCCCTGCCCTGGTGGGAGCAAAGTCCAGCCAGCGAAACTTTTCCGGGTAGCTCCAGGGCCAAGCCAGGGCGGGTCCCATAAAGGTGCCATGGGATGAGCAATAAAACCTCTTAGCCTCAAGGCCACACTGCAGGGTGCTGCTGCCCGCCTTGGCAGGGGGCAGTGGGCTGAGCCTGCCGCTTGTGCTGCCCCGGGACACCCCCAAACCGCACCCCCGCTCCACTCATAGGGGCCAAGGCCCTATAGCAGCTTCACCCACTTCTGGCCACCCAGGGGCAGGCGGGAAGGACCCATTGCCCTGGCAGCCTCCCCCCCCCCCCCCCCGG